CTCTTGTCCTCCCTAAAGCTAATGACCTGTGGAAAAATATTGCTGTTCTCTACAGCAGGAAGAAGCCATGGACAGCAGAGACAAATCAGATGGAACAAAACCTGTATTCATAAAGACCCTAGCCCAGGACAAAGCTCTATTCCAACTTGCAAGTTTGCCCAGCAGAGACTGACAAAAATTAACAGGATAATTTGGCAAACCATACCCTTCCCAGTGAAATCAATTACTAATTGTCAGAGTTTCTCAAAGAGCTGGAAACCCAGTGTATGTCACTGAGTAGCCCAGGGAAGCATTGCTGTCGCAGCAGCATTGGCTGCACCAAGCTGCTGAGCTCTTTTAGCAGGTAACATGAGCTCTGGCCACAAGGAGAGACTCTCAGCAATGTCAGCACAGTTCACTTTAACCAAGAAACTCTGTGGAGAGACAGGGAAGATAATTGTACTCTGATCCACACTCCTGGCCCAGTCTTGATTCTCTCCCCCTTCACCTGCCTTTACTTTCCTCATTTGAAAAAATGTTACAACTGTTCCTTTATTTCAGGAAAAGCAGAAAGGAAAGTCTCAGCTCATAGTACAAAACCCACAATGTATCTAACACCCACATGCACAGAGTGACACACGCATCAGGACAGTATGCCCCTCTTTCTCCTGTTTAGGTTGGTAGCAACACAAATCACAGCTAGCATGGTTCAAGCAGCTTGACTACAGGTTTACAACAACAAAGCAGGCACGGTCCCACCCAATGCAAGTCACTGCCAAGACTGGGGTGATAGCAAAAACCTTTCATTTAAGGCTGGAAATCAAAAACATTTAGACTTTTCCTTTCCAACAGGCTGTCCACAGAATATCAGCAGTGACTGTGAATGGAATTATCCGCATTTCCCCAAGGGTAGCACATAAAAGGACTTTTTCCTGCTGCATTTTTGTGCTTTTGTTATGCTGCTCATGTCAAGGACACGACATGGGAAAGGGAGGAGTAGACAGGATATGCTATATGAACACTGTTATTACTTTAACTTAGTATTTTCCACTGGGAAACCATGTCAGGGCGGGGAAGAGTCTCATAGGAAGCTTTCCACACTCTAAGTCACAGGCTGGCTCCAGGAACCTCCCAGGCATGTTCCCATGATTACCTCCTATTTCATGGCTGACTTTAGTTATTGGCTTAGTTGATTTTCTCTTCTTTTAAGAGATGCCTCTCCACCACTTCATGAGTAAATGTTATTTCTGTTTTGTTCTAACATCAGACAAATTCCTTAGCACAGCAGCTGATTCCAGCCAAACCATTTCAAGACATGAATTTATCATTATAAACAAAGACAAATGTAATGAAGTCCAAAGTAAACCAGAAAACTAAAAGCACATTTGCATCATTTACTATACTGACCAAATACAAACTATAGCAAGCAAAGCTGCAAAAAAGCATCATTTATTTCCACTTCTCATAGCATTCAAATTCAAGCTAAGAGGCTACTAAAACTAAGATATCGGTTACTCATGATTTTCAGGAAGAAGATGCCAGCATTGGTGCAATGTAGCCACAGTGCATCACTTTTGCCATACCCAGCATTTGAAAGCAGAAAAAGCTACAGGGAGCTTTTTGTAATCCTTGTGTTGCTTTGAAATAAAATTATTTATCGACTGACGCCATATTTTGAAACCAAGAAGAACTTACTTTCTAATTTCCCAAAACAGGAAAATGCATTTTTCAGTATTTTACCTTCTAATATACATCACTAAAAGACCATGCTTCCACTAGCCCTCCTCAGGTATTTTTGCATGGTTCTCATCCCTGTAGAGGCTTTTGTCCTTGTTTTTCTATCTAAAACAACAAGTTATGTGAAAATTACTTTTTGCATGTTCTGGCAGTCACATTTAAAGGTTAGGGACAAAAAGAATGCCTTACTACCCCTGTTGAAAAAAGCTTAAAATTATATGCAAATGGATGAAAAAAAAAAAAAAAAGTCTCAAGGGCTAGTACAGAGTATCAGAGAACCTTCCAGAGTATATGTGCAGGCACACGGTTTCCAAGATGGAGTAAAAAGGCAGCAAGTGTTCCAATATGTATAAAGGTGGCAAGTGTTCTATCATAAAAACTGTCTTACAAGGCAAAAAAATGTGGACTATTTTCCCTCTGAGGTTTATGTAGGTAGAACTCTCCATCATTATTTTAATAGGATCTTTACCTGGTTAAGAAAATTAAATCACAAACAGAAAGGAAATAAATTATAGCCTTTGTTAGAAGCTGTCATATGCTTACAGTCTTCACAGTCACGCAGATTCACAAATTTATCTGCCTGCTCCCACACATCCAATTGACACATCTGATGCAGACACTAGTATGGTGGAAGAGGCAGAAACCTGCACCTGAAAAACTGGTACTTCTGAGAGAAGCTATGTGAAACGAGTTTTATTTTCATTGGCTGGTTGATTTCTTAATCCCAAAAGTTTTCATTTGAGTTTATGATAATGTTTTCCTTTTAGACAGAACATCTATCAGCTTCAGACCCCTACAAATGTCTATATAGTTTTCATATTAACCACCTCTGCTTTGCTCTTCCTCCCTTCAAGGGTATACACTTTAAAAGTAATCTTATCTAGTTAATTCACCTGAAATAGGCATTACATCTCCTCCTGTATTCTTGCAAAGATGTAGGTTTTCTCCTCGCTGAAGGCAGCACAAACTGTTTTGCCATAGATCACCATATAAACTCTTCCCCCATCTCATAATCTGTACATTCCATAAAAACAGGAAGGCTATTTAATGGTGTGGTACAGTTGATGTAATGGGTGCTTTAGAATGTTACTGATAAGCAGCTTGATAACAGACTAACAGTTGAGATGTCTGTAGTCCAAAGGACTAAGAGCCTTACTTGCAGCACTGTACCATGAGGACATGCAGAACAGGAAGTGTCCAAGTACCTCAGTACAAGCTGAACACATGCTGCTGCTGAGGACTGGCATCTGAGAAACTGCTTAGACTTTGGATAAAAATCAATCAGCTAGCAAACAGAAAATCAACTGAATCTGCAAAATAGCATGCAGCAGAAAGCACAAGACACAAGGAATTAATTAGAAGGGAAATACGAACTGGAGTTTTGTGGAGGTTTGCTTCTTGACATGAGTATGGAGCACTAAATACCTGACAGCTGCCAGACTTCTGACACACCTGAACAACAAATCCTGCAACAGTTACAAGCACAAGCAGAGTATGGTGCAGAGGCAGAAACTGTCACACTGCCTTTCTGCACAGCTCTTACTTCAGCAGGCCTCTCTGTTTACTATGATACCAAACTTTGCAAACCTACCCTCCAGTCAGGTCATCTGAAACTCACCTTTCCAATGACAGGCATTTTATGTAAGCCAGTACTCTCTGCAGCTAGCATTTTCCTAAAGGAACTATTTTAGCCTTCAAATGCACTTTACATGGCATGCCCTGCCTGGTACAAAGTGGCCATAACGCTGCATCTGCAGGTGCCCAGAAGCCTACTCATCATCCTCCTCACTATCCCCCCTTAAGTATCAGCAGTCAATGAAATCAATGTATTTCTGCATTTTAATAAATGAAGCAAGCTGTTTTTATTTTGCATTTTAAAATATTTGATAAAATTAAGTATTTTGCTGCCCAAAAGGTCAGAGTGAGATACCAGTTATTTAACTATCACTATAACTGCAGCTACCACAACTTAGCAGAGCACTCCAGTATATAGACAACACCTGACCTATTTTAAACTAAAACAGAACTGATTACTGTCAGAGGATGTACTACATTTTACCTTCTCATACTCAGGTCTGTAATACACACATATTTATACCTGGACATTCCCTCAAATTAATTTGAGCAGATTACTCTAGCCTTCTAAAGAACTAGCAGACCATCTGAGTACCTTGCAGCCATTGAAACCTCAGACTGTAACCATCTCTGATCCTTAAGACAGTATACTCTTATCACACAGTAATTTTTAGACAGAAAGTCTTCCTAAGAAATTTAAATGCCATAAGGAAATATGCCTTTGACTCTTCCTTTCTACCATTTAAAAGACTTTCAGATGTTGAAAACAGAAAGCAGATAAATGTCATGGGAAAAAAACCTCAAGCAGATATTAAACACTACCTGGAACCAAATTCTGTGAACAAAGGCAAATGTTAAGCTTTGAGATTCTGTCTTCAAGACTTACTGATGGCACCTAGCCCTCATCACTGTTGTTCAAGACTCACCGACACTTCTGACTGTATGAAGTGGAATGTTCCAGGCTTCCTCCTGAAAAGTGTTAATAGAAGGAGCAGCATTCCCACTCCAAAAGCTCCAGGATATGAAGCACAATTTGAGCAATTGAGTTGTGTAAGCTCTGTTTACAGTACATTATTGTAATGTATTCATTAAAGTTAATTTCTACAAAACCCCATTTATCTAACTGTTCTCATTAATTAGAACAACTGGGAGCAGAAAAAAAATGCTAAAATATTTGGGACACATAATTGAAGTAAACTTCTTACTTTCTTTATGTAAGTTTACTTACTTACTTCTTTTATATAACTTTGCTAAGTTTAACTCATAAGCATTTCCAAAATGTTAAGGCTCTCCAGACAAAACTTAAAATATGTGCATTTAGCTAACATGTTTTAATATGTGACATTACTCAAACACCATAGATATTTTATGGCAAATGTACATAAACCCTCCAGCAATTACATTTTACATGAAGGATTTTCAGCAACTGATGCCCATGAATTCTAAATTTTCTTGCTCCTCAAGAGGCTGGCTGAATTTTTATTTACCTTTTTTTAACTAAAGTGAAGGATACTTTTTCTCTTCTGGTTTTAGGAAATCTTTGAAAAGACAAAAATCTACTGTAATCTGTTTATGCAAACTAGCATGATAAATCCCTTTTGCTATCTGCATTACTTAAATCCAATCCTAAAAAACTTAAGTAACTTCTTTTCACTCAAATGGCACCAGCACTAACAAAAAATAGTTAGTTAGTTAGAACATTGCCTTACCGTGTAAATGCCAATTCTACAAACAGCAAATGAGAGCTGGATACATTCAGACATAGTCTAAAGGAATTAAAATAAAGACATTATCAAGAATACTGTTTATTAAGAACTACTTTTTTTTTTCCCATCTCTCCCCTTTCCCATGAAAGAAACACCTTCTTCAAAGCTGTATTAAACAACTTTAGAAAAATGTCATACAAATTCAGGTTACACAGATACATACTACCTTTCATACAGAAGCAGCTAAGTGCAGAGGTGTCAACACCTTCACACTCACTAGTTCAGTATTTCATTATAGGTCTCAAATTATCTAATGATCCCAAAAATGCCTGTACACAACATTAATGTTTTGTATGTAAGCTTTCAATCTCATTTATTTTTATCTACTCTGATTTAAAAACAATCTGCAAGAATCATTTTAATGGAGTGCTTTTTGGCCTCTTAGTGTACTGTAAAGAGCTTCTGTGTTTATATTTTTCTCTCCCTTTACCATCACTGAAGCCAACTTCGTCTATATACCAGAATAATGCCCACAATTTAATGTTTGCACATTTCTGAACCCTTATTGCTTTAGTTTTCTAAAGTAGAACATGAAAATAGAACATTTTATTTAATCTGTTCTTAAGCTGGGAATAATCATATTAAAAGTTTTTACCCTCAATTTGCTCAACTTCCAATCTGTTGTGATGCCACAATTCTATGTCTTCTGCAGTCACCCAGAGAGGCTGAGGATGGACTACGAATTTCTGATGAAACAGATGAAAAACACCTTCTTTAATTAGCACAACAAAGCCAGGAAATAAATGCAGCTCTCCAACACCAAAATAAAAACTACTGTATGTTTGCCATATTTCCTACACAACTAGGTAAAATAAACTAAACTTACAATTATTTATTCAGAAGAGTAATTGAGGAATTACTTTATACAAGGTATTTGAAAGACAAAACTTAAAGCCTTCAAGCAGAACATTTTCATTACATGTTTAAAAAGTTCACATATTATCTAAGACGAAGTGTTGGATGATACACACTTCAAACACATCAGTCAAAACATCTTTTCAGCATCTACTTTCTGATACTTCCCTCCCTCCAAAAAAAAATTGAATTGAAATACCCATTTAATTAAAATTGGGATTTAAAAAAAAAAAAATAATAGATCTTATTAACTACAAGTAATAAAAAAATGTCTAGCAACATTTTTCTTTTGCTGTTAACAGTTACATCTAAATTTTAAACAAATACTGAACTGTGTGAAAGTCAAAAAGCACAGTACAAAAACCTGAAAACAAACTTCAACAGCACAGTTGGTTTTTATTTCTTACTGGAAGTAATCTAGCATGGTATTAATGATAAGGAGATGCTGACTTGAAACACCATTTCAGTTGAAGGAGATTTTTTTTTTCAGTTTTAAGACCAAACATCCAAGTCTATCTCTTGTGCTCTAAGCTTCTCCCAGAAAGAAAAAACTGACAGAGAAATAGGAACTGACTTCAAGAAATCCTACAGTTACACAAAGCAGGGTCATAAACCATACCCCTCCTGACAGTATTTGCAGACCTTGTTCCAAAGGTTCCAGGGATGGATGACTTCCCCAAGCAATTCAGTCCAGTGCTTCATTACCCTCTCTACTAGAAAGTTTCCTAATGTTTAACCTCAGTCTGTGGCAATTCAAGCCCATGCTTAAACTGTGCAATATATTGAATGATTTACATTTTCAGTATCCTGGCAGAATCTATGTTGCTGGCAGACACAATTTTATATACAAAGTAAATGATTATTTCAGCTTGCAAGAGAAGTAAACATGCAGCAGCAGCAGCAAACCATTATAGCTTCTTCATGTATACAGTTTGCTTTTATTCTAGACAAGCACAGCATTATAAATTGTTTTCTTTTTTTAAATTTTTGTTCACTACTTCCAGGCTATGCATTAGTGGGAGAACTAAGCTGCAGTTCAAATTCTCCAGCAAGCCCCTGTAGATCCTTGCATCAGCAGAATAAAACAACCTACATCCCGTGTTACCTTACTTAGGCATTGTTGGTTTTGCTACTGTTAACATTCTGAAACCACAGGCTATTTTAATTATTATAAGGCATGAACTCTGTCACATATAGTACTGATGAATGTTTCCCTTATGCATTTCCCAGTGAAATATTACGATAATCCCTTCTTCAAGCCTCCAAAATAATGCTTATAAACTACATTCTATTGTGGTAAAAAAGGGTCATTAATTCCAACAGTACTATTAATATCTATTATATTCACCTATCCTTTCTTCTGAAAATTTACATTCCCCCCCCAGAAGTATTTCAGTTTAATCCTTGAAAAAGTGACAGAAATTGATTTAAATAATTAAAAGCTTAGTGATGCTATCCTTCAGACTATTAGTCTGACTGAATTAAGATATAGTTGATAATCTGTTGCTGCAAAGGGGAGTTTATTATTGATACTTGTAATCTTTCATTACTTTGGTTGTGCAACTCACTTGGGACCATACAATTGGGCAACAAAACAGTTGTTGGAAAATTTACACGTAATTTACTTACAGTTTATTGTTGCTTTCTGAAAGAATTTTACACCGTAAGCATGAAAATAAAAGAAAAAAAATGTAAAAATATACCTAGAAATACTGTGAAAGAAAGATACCTCGTTTGACACAATTCTACAAAGAATAATTCTTCACAGATGTGATTTCACATGTCTAAGGTGAAAAATGGAGTCATCAGATCAAACATGCCAAATATATGCATGCATCTCTTCCAAAAAGCACCCTTCTGCCTAGGCAAAGGGTCATCTCACGAACATTAAATAATTTCTCCCACTGGAAAACAAACTCAAGGCTAACTTTCCTATTCGCCCAAGACTTTGTTATTTTAATCATACCTTGTAAAAATGTGGCTATTTATAATGACTTAGAAAGATGTCTGCCCTGCAGCTGTGCAACATTCAAGTCACAACAAGCATCTGTTCTGTCCATTTTTTCAAGTATTCAGCTATGAGTACAAATATCAGTAAAAAGCAATTTCAGTATTTGGTGTTTAAAAAAAAACTCATTCAGCTCTGACACAGGCACACAGTCTGCAACTCACAAAGCCATTGTTTTAAATATCTATTTTGTCAGCAAATACAAGATTAAATCCCTACTCATAATATTTACAAGAGACCAGATTTTGAGAAGATTAATCACAGCATGTTCTGCAACTGATGACTTCAAGCACCAAGTTGAAAGCACTAGCCTCAAGAACCTTGGTGGGCAAAAGGGGAGGGTGATCCTAATCAAGTTCTCAGGAAAGAACCAAAAGGTTCAACACCTGACAGAACTGTAGGAGCCAGTCAATTCTGCCACCTAGCAGAAATACCTCGACCGCAACTCACTGTGACATAATCCTAAATAAATCACAGCACTGAATACAGCTCCAAGACCACAAAAACAGAAAGCAAAATGAGAAAAGGAAGATGTTAGAGGTTTTTTTTCTGGGGATATGTTTCTTTAATACGCTTAAGATCAAGACACACTTCTGCTCATTTATAATGAAGTGATACAACTCAGCAATCACTCGGAATTGCTGGATCTTCCAGGCAGAAGTTTTTCCACCTCTATTCTTATCTGCATCTTTTTCAGTGTATAAAATTGCAAAAATTAGCAATACAAGTGCATAAAATATGCAGGTTTTAAGGTACCTTTACGTATGGAGCCTGAAACAAATTCTCAGTGCTTATGCGTTGTAAGGAACATGTGGGTACCCAAAAGCATGCACAGTGACACTACAGTAAAGGTAGCAGGAACTTTGACCAGAACTGCTGTTTGCTAACCTTGTGTACTGAACTCCAACTAGTAACCCCAAGGCTCCCCTTTCTACAGAAGACATAACAGCCCACTCCTAAATGTTATTCCATTAATAACATTTCTAATTTAAACTCCCTGAATTCTTTTTAATACTGTTATTAGGGATAAAAGGCACAGAAATTATTTTCATACTCTCCTTTAATGCTGAATAAATATATTTCTAAAATACCAATCTTCTTGTACATAATCATTAGAAAAATAAATCTCAGTTTAGAGACCAGAAGAAACCTGATGTTGATGGAAAAGCAATGATATGGGAAGAGAAAATAGGACTAGATCCAAGAACTCCCTTGTCATCATAAAAAGTAATCAAGTGGATGCACCAGTGAACAATGCTCTCCTCTCTTTTAGGCAATATTCTCAGTAGAACAGTTTTCCATTACTGTTTCCAGGACTGCAGTGGCTCAGGCAGTGAAAGATACAGATCAGCCAGCAGAAAATTAACAGCTGCAAAAACAGCATAGACGTTTCTCAAGAATTCTGGACCTTTTCTCCAGTCTTGCTGAAACCTGAAATTATGCAAGTTTCTAAGCAAAAAGAAAGCACTGAGAAAAGAGATCACTCACTGTAGAGTGCATCATCTCTCTACACAGGTTGTCTGTACAGTTTCAGGTTCTCTCAGTGTTGTGGGCCTAACATAAAAGTTACCAATTTGTTAAAACACAGATGTCAGAAAGCCAACAGCCTTTCCTCATACATCAAGGCAGCACTTCCAAGCAGAAGGAATCTGTTAGGTATGTGCCCTTGGAGCTGAATTAAAAGTCTCACCTCCTGTGCAGTCAATGCAATTCTGCATTGACTGAATATCTCAATTTTCTAACTGCAATTTCCTGTTCCAGAACTGATTCTAGATTCCTCCTCAATGAGGAGGAATATTGGATGTCTTTAGTCCATAGCAAAGCATCAGGGTATCCAGGGAATCATACCTCATGGACCTATCCTTATGCTCCAGTAATCACAACTTCAGCATTTTCTGCCATCATATCTGAATATCATGTTTAATACTAAGCCACAATGGACCTGTCTTTGAAGACACTGTACCAATTCCTGGTCTACTCATTTTCACATCCCTAACATTACTGCACAAGTGAGAATTCAACTACACTCACCTGAAAACACAGATCCTGGATTATAACTGTGAGTTCTTCTATATGGAAAAAAAATTGCTTATTGCCTAATCTCTTTCTGATTTCAAAGACATCTAGAATATTACCTCCTCATACCAGTCAGCTGTCTTTTCTTCAGACTGAAGGGCTGCAAGTACTTATCTCTGCTTGTATGGAAGAAATTGCTTTTCTTCAATTACCACACCATCCTTCTCTGTATTTTCTTTGGGTTTTCAATACTCTTCCTGAGATGATGCAACCAGAAATGCAGCATGGAAGACAAGAGCAAACCTTATATTTAAGCAGTGTAAAAATGAGATCTTTCCCTCTTTTTCCTTCTTAATACTCTAAACTTGTTGACAGATGTCTGAGTTGAGATGACATTTTAAAGAAGTGTCCTCATTCCCTTTCCTGAGTACTGATGGTATTTTAGGGCCTACCCATGCATCTGTACTGCCATGTGACTTCTTCTAAAAATATATGCAACTTTGCATGTATCAACACTGAATTTCATCTGCCATTTTATTACAAATATCAAAAGAAGCACTAGATTATTTCCCTGGGTTCAATATGCATTCCTAATGTTTGTCCCTGCATCAGCCCATCGAAAGCACATGCAGTTTATACAACTAAACACAAACATGAAAATCCCTTGTAATCTCTGCATTCACTTCTCCCTCTTATTCTGCCACTGCCAGCGCTGTGCTCTCAATGCTCATTTGTATTTCTCATGAAATTTGTATTACAGATGACAAAATTATTACTTAATTGTTTTTAAGTTTTTCACCTCTATTA